GCCTGGGCGCCATGGAAGCACGTGACACAATCATCGTGCTGAAGCCAGGCTTCCAGAAGGATATCTTCCCCAGCGGAGATTATACTCTTAAGCTGGGGAAGGGCGCCAAGGTCCTGAGGGCGAAGAAAACCCCCTCAGGACATCTAGCCATTCCATGCGGGTTGTATGACGGGGCTAAAAGCCAGTCGGTCACGAACACCTTTACAATCCGCAGTAGTCGTGATGGCTACACCGAGACGGAGAACGACGAGGACTCCGTCAATGCGGGGCCACCCGCCGGTGTAGGTGCGGGGTCACCCGCTGGGGTAACAGCGGGGCAACCCGCGATGGGACAGTCCATGACCGTTACGACTGATACGTTCATTGTCGAGCCGTATCTCGACAAGCAGCTCCTGAAGGACACGGCCCGTGCGATCGTAGACAGGACGCTCGACAGCTGGTGGAAAGGCCAACAGTGTCCTGAGGGGACCTGGCCACACATGAAGGATGCCCTGAAGTCTAAGATTTTCTGGGCAGTCCAGGAGGCGGTGAATAATTGGTCGCCTGAGAACCAAGCGGGGCCACCCGCGACACCGCCACCACCACCAAGCTGCACGGGCGGAGGTTCGACGGACCTTGCGGGGCCAACCCGCGAGGAGATCGTGAGCGCAGCCGCACCAGTGACGCCTGCGGAGTCATCCGCTAACAGCATGCCCCTCTGACGGGGGCAGGCGGGCGCGGGGGGCGGGGGGGGGGGGCGGCGGCGCCTCGCTTAGCGAAGAGAAGCCGAAATGTACCGGCTCCTCGCGAAATACGGTGGGGCCCGAGCTGAGCCCGAGAAGAAAACAATATCATTCAATAAAGCTGCGTGTCATCGACGATATTCGCACAGCTTGCGCTGAATCCGACCCTGGATATATAATGCGACCGGATTATTACCCCATAATGAGGTAATGACTTTTTTTTTATTGTTTTTGGTTGTTCGTTTTTTTTTTTTTTTTTTTATTTGTTTTTGGTTTGCTTTTTTTTTTTTTTTTTTGTTTTTTTTTCTTTTCTGTTTTGTTCTTTTTTTTTTTTTATTTTTTTTTTGATTTTTTTACTTTTTGTTTCTTTTTTTTTTTTTTATTTTTATTTTTTGTTTTTTTTTTTTTTTTTTTTTTTTTCAGCTGGAACACAGTATTTGGGAAATTTGTTGGCAGGAGACTACAATATGTTGTGGGTGGCCACACCCTCTGATTGGTACGTGCGTACACCAGGAAAGAGGGCGGGACCACATTATCAACGTATACAAAATCTCCTGATCAATGCGCGTGCTCTGAGAATGCAGATAGTTATCCTGGGGCCACCCGGGTATTTCTGGAAACAGGGTCCGATCAAAGATGTTATCGAAGATTTGAAGCTAAGCGTTATACGAATCAGACTCTGTCATTTCGGTTTTAAGTTTGACCGATCCAGTAAACATCCCAGTGGTTCTTATATACAAGTTGCTACATCTTGTCCTCATATACCGATAAACTTATGGAAATGTACTTGTGGATCACACAGGGAGCATGATTTGGATTGGTATGGCCAAGATCAGCAACGTGCCGAGTTTCGGTATAAAATTTTGGCTATTATTATTGCACGCTTCCTTGATCAACTCGATAAAGCCAACATGATCAGGAATGAGCGGAGTGCGGTACACCTCAGTGTGTGTACACGCGTTGACAAAAAGGTCAGACACTACGTTCAAAGTCCACAGAAGGGTCCTCAATGGGACCATGTGGTACGTAGGGTCACGACCGACCTGGACACGAACAAGATTGTTCAAGACATTAGGATCCAGGATCAGCCAACTGGGTACAATTATGTAGCTCCATTACCTGATGGGGTTATAAACATCAGTACTCGGCTATACTGGGAGCCTCCGGCTCCAGTTCTTCATGGCAATGGTGAGTCGCGAAGGCCACGCCCAAAGCGTGTGACGATCGTCGATGACGATCGATCTCCTCCCCCTTCGATTGAGCGTTGCCAAACGCGACCCACCAACGACCTTCCTGAAATTCCGCCATTTCCTGATTTTACAGCGGATTCCTCCGCTGCGGATCTCTCCGCGGAAACTGCGTTGCCCACTGATGCCAGGATAAAACAGAAAGAAAAGCAGAAAGCTGACAAAGAAGCCGGCATCAAACCGAAGAAAGTCCCGAAGAATGTGGAAGACGGTAACGACGACTGTGGAGAGGACCTCAAAGGGCTTGACTGCTCCACATATTTCAACGACGTTCCTCTTGACGACTCGGACTCGGACAGCGAATCAGAGGACATCTTCATGATGTTACCGGCGGGGCAACCCGCTGACTCACATGCCGATGTCTTCTCGATAGTCCAGTCGTTATGCTACGGCAGAAACAATCAAGTGGACATGCTTGAATTATGTGGGGGCAAGGGTGGTATATCCATATTAGCCTTCAAGAGGGGACTCTCGTCAGGCGGGTACCTTGACAAGATATCTATGGTTGACCTCGGAAACTCGGAAGTACAAAGAGCAGTCCTCCACTACCTCAAGACTTGCTTTGTCAAGATCACGATTCTGCAGCCAAGCTGCAGAACTACTGGACTTCCCTCCTATTTCAACGCACAGGTCAATCATGATACGTGGCTTAAACACCACAAAGTGGACCTGCCTCACATCACGTTCTGTGGAACAGTCGCTCTATTACAAGACGACCTAAGACGTTTCTTTCTCAGGGAACAACCAATGGGCACGTGGGTGGATGAGATCCAGCCATGGAAAAAACTGGCACAACGCAAGGTCACTTGCCAAACAATCATTGATCAGTGCACGACTGGTCTCAAAGATTCATTTGGACAATATATCCGCAAGCCAACACAGATAATGGCAAATAAAGAAGAGTTGTTGGCACCTTTCAAAGGCAAGCGTTGTCCAGGAAATCATGTGCACGCCAATGCTTGTAACAAAGAGCTAGCAAGGGCGGCACAGTATACCTACAGAATGCAGTCATTGATCGTTGATGCGGTGCAAATCGCCAAAGACCTGTTTGCTTACGGTCGCGACCCATTCGCGAATCGTGAACGCAGCTATGCGTTCGTAACAAACAGTGCTGGCTACGACTTGGACGACCCAACAATCCGGAGACATCCAAACGGAGAAATCTGGCATGGGACTCCCGTGGGCCACTCTCTTGGCCAAATTTCATGGTGGGTTGCTCTTGCTCCTGCTCCTCCTGTTTGTCTGCATGCATGTCCTCCTCTTTGTTTGCATTGCATTGCATTGCAGACGCATAGCGTTGCAATCGCACTCTTCCCTCCCATCCTCGCAACAGGACCCCTATGGAAAACATTCCAAAGGGATTCCAGTGGAACGCCTCACAGCAGGAATCCTTTGGAAACCGCAACAAAGGGATTCGATTGGAAAGCGCCACACAGGGATGTGGGAAGCGAAAAACCAAAAAAACACAAGGAAAAACCAAAAAAACCAAAGAAACCAAACACCAACAGCCGAAAAACCAAAAAAACACAAGGAAAAACCAAAAAAAACAAAAAAAACAAAGTTTACAACACTTTCGCTGTCAGGGCGGTGGGGGTGGACGAAGTATCGAAATCTTTGTTTTTTTTGGTTTTTTTGGTTTTTCCTTGTGTTTTTTTGGTTTTTCGGCTGTTGGTGTTTGGTTTCTTTGGTTTTTTTGGTTTTTCCTTGTTTTTTTTTTGGTTTTTCGCTTCCGCCACCCCTCCCCCTGGGGAGCGGGCGGCTCCAGGAGGCCCCAGGAGGCCCCAGAGAGGCCCCAGAGAGGCCCCAGGAGACCCCTGGAGGAGACCCAGGAGGGAACCCAGGGGCATCGCAAATTCATTGTCCCTTCGATGCCCCTCCCCTCTCCTCACCTCTCTCTCCCTCAACCAAGTTTTCTGGTTACCCTCTCTTTCGTGCCCGCCATCCCCTTCCCGCGACGGCAGCAGACTCAAGGCCCAGCTGGTTGCTGAGGATGGGTGCCTTTCGGGTGCCTTGCGGGTGCCTTGCGGGTGCCTTAGCAATTAGCGGAGTGCATTGCGAGGATACACGTGCCGCGCAACTCCCCAAATATACCATTCAGAAGGGGGAAACGCTCGAGAATTTTTTTTTTGGGTTTTTTTGTTGTTGCCGTTGCATATGAACGGAAAGCGAAGCATTTCTCGTTAAGTGCAAAAATCAGATTTGAAGAAGTATCATAATCATTATGACGTTGTGCATTTTTACTATCGGCGTCGACCCCCGAATTCTGAGGATGGGTGCCTTTCGGGTGCCTTGCGGGTGCCCTTCGGGTGCCTTTCGGGTGCCTTGCGGGTGCCCTCCGGGTGTTTTTCGGGAGCCGTGCGGGAGCACTTCGGGTGCTCTTCGGCCGTCTTCGGGTACCTTTCGGTAGCCAGCAAGGGGCTTGGGAGGAGGCGGAAGAGAAACCCAGGATCCCAAGAGGAACCTAGGAACCCAGGAGGAACCGAGGAACCCAGGAACCCAGGAGGAACCCAGGAACCCAGGAGAAATCCAGGAACACAGGAGGAACCCAGGAACCCAGGAACCTTGGAGGAACCCAGGAAACCACAAGAAACCCAGGAGGAACCCAGGAACCCAGGAGGAACCCAGGAACCCAGGAGGAACCCAGGAACCCAGGAGGAACCAAGGAACCCAGGAACCCAGGAGGAACCCAGGAACCCAGGAGAAATCCAGGAACACAGGAGGAACCCAGGAATCCAGGAACCTTGGAGGAACCCAAGAAACCAAGAGAAACGCAGGAGGAACCCAGGAACCCAGGAGGAACCCAGGAACCCAGGAGGAATCCAGGAACCCAGGAGGAACCGAGGACCCCAGGAACCTAGGAACCCAGGAGGAACCCAGGAACCCAGGAACCCAGGAGAAACCCAGGAACACAGGAGTAATCCAGGAATCCAGGAATCTTGGAGGAACCCAGCGTTTCCTGACCCCCCTCGCTGCTCGTAGCTGTTTGGGCCCAATCGCAACGCCGAGCGTGCGCCTTCTGGCGAACCCTCAGCGTCATTCAAGACCGCGGCATGGCCGCTTACGAGGACCTGAAATCGGCGACCGAGGGCTGGTATTGCCGCCCTCTTCCTGCACCAATGGTAACGGGCGTGCTGCCCCGTGGAGAAATCGAGCCTTTTCTCGAACTCACGGACGACATCGGGGCCAACGAGAACCCACTGGTGCACTACATTGATTTCATCACGGGGCATAGAGACCCAGTCCCCCCCGAGCTCGACGAGCAATACAAGGCGGCCTGGAAGGACGACAGCTACCGCAATCTGCCGCCACCGTTCGGGTTCAAGACGGCGCCGCAACACCACATGACGCTGCAGATTTGTATCCTTGACGCCCCCGACGGCACGAAGACCATAATCAAACACTGCGTCATCCCCAACAAGGCGAAGACGGCCGTCTTCGCCAGCCTGGCTTTCGGGAGCGTCAAGAAGCTCTGCTTCCAGCATCCCAAGGTGCACGATTGGGGAAACAAAAGGGTGGCGAGGGCGCGGCGCCCTCGCCATTTTGTTTTGTCGATCGCGCCGCCAGGTGGGGGTCAAGGTCTGGCAATACGCCTTCGAGCGGTTCGGAGGCAAACAGTGTCGGGCTTTCTTCTTATCGCCAGACGTCAAGACGGCCACCAAGGTGAACGAGTTCTACGAGCTCTCGGACGAGGATATAAACGCTGGCTTCGAATACATCCTGAAGAACGCGCCTCGCTCCACGGCCGAGCTCAAGCAGCTGGTATGGCAGACGAAGGCGCCACGCAAAGGCGCCCCCCTCTACGGCTGGCCCGTCCCCCTGGTGGCGAAGGCGTTGAGCGGGCTCGCGGCGGAGGGCGCGCTTGCAAAGAAGGAGTTCGAAAACAACGTGATCCTCTGCGAGGACCACTTCAACCTTCGCGTTCCCGAAGCCATGCAGGAGCTGATCAACAGCAACGATTCGCTTGTCCTCATTGGGGAGCCCAACATCGGCAAGACGCCGCTCGGGCGCGCATTCCTGATGGCAATGTGCCGCAGGAACGCGCGGGTCCACGGATTGGACCCCGCGGGTTGTTGCATCCGCGTCACGCCTGAGATCGATTTCTTGCGTGGCGAGCCCGGCGACATTCTCATGGGGGACTTTGTGGACGATGGCTGCTTGAATCTCCTCCCGCCCAAGATGGTGAAGGCCTTGCTCGACGTCGGCCAGTACGAGAGCATGTGCTGGGCCAGGTGGGGCGCAACGAAATGGAAGAAGGGGGAGCCTCGGTGCTTGGCGGACCAGACTTACGATCCGAATGCCGAGAAGCTGGACCGCTGGCCCTCCGTGAAGTTCCAGGAATTCTTCGAGCTCGTGCGCCCTGCCTTCTCCGAGAAGGCGACCCGCGCATGCATGTTGGCTTTCTTCAAGCGTTCTGCGTTTCTGGTGAATACCCAGGAATACCTCTACTGGCGCCCAGCAGGCACTGAGGAGAAAGATGTTCCGCGCATTAACTTCAAGGGCGAGACCTTCCTGACGGCCGAGGGGAAGCGCCTGTACCTACTGCAGAAGGACGGCGACATGACCCCGCCCGCCAATATCCAGCAGCTCTTGGAGAAGGAGCGGCTCCTCGTGGACTCCGCCGTGGAGAAGAACCGCAAGAAGTCCTCAGACGCGGCCCTCGGTTCTTTGCCAGCCCCGTCGTTCGTCCAGGTTTGGGGGTTCAAAGATGCGGCCCTGCGGGGCGGGGTCCTAGGGCTGAGGGAGCACTTCAACGCGTTCTGAACGCTGAAACGCTGCCTCGGCCTTGGCGGACATCATCTTTGAGCCCCTCCCGACAGGTGAAGCGAGAGCGCGTGTCCCCTGAGCGCCTGACGTTTCGGAAGCGCCTGCTCTCGGGGGTGACGCTCAATGTCGACAGCCCGTCCCCCGCCAAGCAACATGCCGCGGCGTCGTCCACTGCATCTGGGCCCGCGGCCCCGCCCCGCGACGATCTCGAGGTCCAGCTCTCGCAGATGCTGGCCGAGGAGGGGGCGCCCGCTGTGCCTGCGATGCCCTCGGCTGCGGAGGAGGACGAGGCGCGCGCTTTCCTCGGTTCTCAGAGTCAGGAGTGAGCGGGCGGCCGCGAGAGCGCGGGCGGGCAGGTGCGGCGCGCGGGTTTCGCGGGCAGCGATGGCACCCTCAGCTCGGGCGCTGATGCCGCGCGCGCTGCCGAGGTGGCGCGCGCCGCTGCGCCCCAGATGAGCTGGGGGCGCGCGCCGCCAACATGTTGTGTCTTGATAGGGTTATCCACAAGTACCGCGCGTTATCATGCCATTTTCTTTTGCCGTTCTAAGAAATCCAGCCGCCCCCGCAGACGTCGCCGTCGTCGCCGCCGCCGCCGCCATCGCCGTCCATCCGGCATGGTTGCTGTCATCGCCGCAGCCGTTTCTTGGCCGAATCGGCAGCCAGAGCCGCGGGTGCCCGCGCCTCTCGCGCACTGCCTCGCCCGTGCTATCGCGCCTGGAGCCAGGGATGACCGTCCACCGTCGCCCCGCCGCCTCCGAGGCCAGGGGTCGAAGCCGCGCGCGAGGGCAGCGCTTCCCCCAGAAGCGTCGCAACAAGCGGTCGGTGCAGGCCGCCTCGCGCCGCCGCGACATTTTGGCCAAGGCGCGGAAGGCGCGCAAGGCGGCCCAGGCCAAACGCAAGCGCTTGGAAGCCACGGGCGTGTTCTACACGCCCAATCGCCAGCGGGTGTCCCGCGTGCGGCGCGGCAGGTCTTCCCTAGCCAAGATCTACACGTACGAGGACCTCAGGGCTCTGAAGACCAAGGATGCTTACGCCTTGATGGTCCAGGCGGGGTACCTCGGCGACCCCTCCGAGAACGTTTGCCCCAGGTGCGGATGGCCATTGGGTTCGGTGATTCACAGGGGCGAGAAGCGGCATCCAGTCCAGAGGTGTCAGCGCAAGGCCTGCTCGTCGTCCTCGGTGCAGGTGAAGGTCACGAGCGGC